TTCCGCTCTACTCTGCACTAGTTAGGCCTCAGTTGGAGTATTGTGTACAGTTCTGGGCACCACATTTCAAGAAAGATGTGGAGAAATTGGAGAGGGTCCAGAGAAGAGCAACAAGAATGATTAAAGGTCTAGAGAACATGACCTATGAAGGAAGGCTGAAAGACGTGGGTTTGTTTAGTTTAGAAAAGAGAAGATTGAGGGGGGACATGATAGCAATTTTCAGATATCTAAAAGGGTGTCATAAGGAGGAGGGAGAAAACTTGTTCTATCCTCAGAGGTCAAGATGAACAAGAAGCAATGGGCTTAAACTGCAGCAAGAGTGGTTTAGGTTGGATATTAGGAAAAAGTTCCTGCCTGTCAGGGTGGTCAAACACTGGAATAAATTGCCCAGGGAGGTTGTGCAATCTCCACCTCTGGAAATATTTAAGAGTAGGTTAGATAAATGTCTTTCAGGGATGGTCTAGACAGTATTTGGTCCTGCCATGAGGGCAGGGGACTGGACTCGATGACCTCTTGAGGTCCCTTCCAGTCCTAGTGTTCTATGATTCTATCCCTGGGTTGCACCTCAAGGCTGGCATCACAGTGGTAACCCAGACCCGTTGGAGCAGAAGAAGGTATGGTGATGAAAGTGCCCCCACACTGGGGCTGTGGACTATGGGACCCAGTCCCCTCTAACTGACTAGGAAGAACCTGGCCAAATGCAGAAACGCCAGCCCCATGGCTTCAAACAGCTGAGGGGACGGGACTCCTTACCCAACAAGGCCACAGCCTCATAGATCTCCCTGTAGAAGTGTAGAGAGCTCTCTGAGTGGGGTCCAACAGAGCCCCTTGCCCGGCATTGAAATACACAGCCACCTCCCATGATGGGGTTACAGAAGGCATCAGCCATGGTGTAGGAGAGGGAGACCATTGCACCAAAATTCCCATCCCCAGCTAGGTACTGGTGCACACACGGGGATACTACAGGACATTAGAAATCACACGTAACATAACGAAGTCAACAGAGCAAATAAAACCCCCTACCTGAGCTGGCTCCACCACAGCCATGTCCCTGCCTGCCTCCGGGAGGCGGGTGAGCTGGTGCCAAATGCGGCCACTACTCTGCAGCCTGCCAGGGCGAGAGGGGGGTTAGCACATTTCACACCCGCTTCCGCCCCGCCCCGAGCGCTCTCCCTGCAGCCGTTCTCTCCCCACACAGAGCCCCGCGATGCATCTGATTGCCTGGGCTCTGCTAGCATGAGCAGTCACAGCCACGCACCAGCAAGGCAGCCCCCTGGCCGCCCAGGGACACTTCTGCACATGCGGCTTCTATGTGCCCGGCTGCACTCGCGCCGGAAACGAGCCAGACCCAGGGGGTGTGTCTAAAATTGCAAAAATTTTC